CCCGGTAACCACAAGTCTGTATTCTCTGTCCATGAGTCTATTTCTGTCCTGTATTTATGCTTTGTTTTTGTTTGTTTGTTTGTTTTTGTTTTTTAGATACAACATATTTATGGCACAGATTTGGCCCAAGTTCATTTACAACTGCTACTTTTTAGCAAATCCAGAGCAATACAACCCTTCCATGATAGTTTTCAAAGCCTTGACTGGGACTTGTAGTTCTTATAGAGCCAAATCTTTCATTTCTTGGGACATTACCACTGAAGGTGTCAGTATGAGAGAGAACAGAACAGAGTGGAAATATCAGGGGTTGATACTGATTCTAGGGTCATACAGACCCAGAATTCAGTCCTGTTTCTCCCACATGTTGTGTGTGATTAACTTGGGCAGGTCCTAGCATTTCACTGATCATTCTTTCCTTCAGTGTACACAAGTGGGTGAACACCAATTCTGTAGCACTGTTACGAAGATTAGAGATACATGTGAAAGGCACAGTTAGTACTTGACACATAGAAGGTACTTAGTGCACAGTGGTTACTCTTGTTACTGTGTCCTCGATTGAAAAAATTTTTCAGGTGCTATGCTAAGCCTTTATATAGAAAAAATGAAGTTATTTTGGATCTTAATATAGGGGTACTGATAGTATAATCATATTTGAGAAAGTCCAGAGGAAAAGTTTCATTTCTGGACCAGATAGTTTGTTTTAAATTATACCACAAATATTTCTAATATTACACAGACTGTTAAGACACATTGTCATAGTGAATATGATGTTCCATATGAGAGGAACTCACAGCCAGTGGAGTTAAGTCATAACCAAGCCAATTTATAATGGAAACGGGTAGTTGTGTTCCATAGTTTAACAGTTGCTGAAATGAGTGATTCAGTCTGTGGATACTGTATAAAAACAGGCACTCAGAGAACCTGTGCTATAAACTTCTATTGGATTTTCTAAAAATCATCTGGTGAATGTGCAGATAATCTTAATAGAATAAATCCTTCTTAATCACCCCTAATACTGTAACTCAGATATGTTCAAATCATAGCCATTTTTTACATTTCCCATCCAAGCACAGACAAATCCAACACAACTACAGAATTAGCTTCCCTATCAGTCTGGTAAATTGCATTTCTCTTTCAAAAAGCCAATCATCGGGCATTCAGAAGAATTGGTATTAGTTTTAGACAGGAAATATTCATAGAATTTTAAAAGAGTATCCTCTCCCACCCCCAGTCCCTAAGGTTAATATTTCCTGGGAAAACTGAAGCTGTTGAACACACTTAATAATGATTTAAGAATGTTATTGTAGGTTATATTTAATAAATATTTATCAAGAATTTGCATGTGCCAGGCTCTGGAAAATATAATGGTGAGCATGACAGACATGGTCTAAGGTGAAGCTGACTGAATAATCAGACATGAGTTTGCATAAATTATAATGAGTGTCATGATAACAGAAGAGGCTGCATTGGGAAACAGATCTGCCTATGACAGGCAGCCCAATGGAGCCACAGGTGCAAGACTCTGTAATACGTGGAGACACCCTCTGAGCTGTAACACTGTACCACACATGTGTGATCTGTCACTAGCCACACGTTATATTCAAAACCATTCTGAAACGGTTCTCCTGATAGTATCCAAGCTCAATTTTAAATACGAGATAAACAACGAAGTGCATGATGTTGTTGAAATAATACAGTGGTTCAGGTTCCCCTTTGACCTTAAGAGAAATTTCTCTTTATACACCAGCCCAGTACCTTACCATGTTTGTTCATTTGATTAGCATTTATTGACCAAAACTGTGCTAAGCATCAGGGAGATAAAGGAGCAAGCCCAAAGCCTGAATGCTCACGACTTTATCTGGAATTGTGCTGGCAAGTATGATAAGGATCATAAGTATCATGATAAAAATAATTGTGGGCTGCCATTGGTACACAGAGATGGGACCTAAATCTCCCTGGGGCTGCAGTACAGAAGGTCAGCAAAAGCACCCTGGAGGAGGGGATATCTGCACTAGCCCTTCAAGGAGAAAGCACATCAAACCCACAATGACGCTCAACAGGAGGTCAGGACAGTGGTTGGAATTACTGAGAATTTCCCCCCCTGGGACGTCAGCAACAGAACTGTGCAGAAGGACAATGATGAGACGTTTTTGGCTTTCTCTCCACAGGAAGGCGAGGTGGATTGCTGGCCACTCACTTGCCCCAGTTTGGGCTGTGAGTACACAACCATCTTGGAAGGGGAGTGTTGTCCCCGCTGTGTCAGTGACCCCTGCCTGGCTGATAACATCGCCTACGACATCAGAAAAACTTGCCTGGACAGCTATGGCCTTTCGAGGCTTAGCGGCTCAGTGTGGACAATGACCGGATCTCCCTGTACAACCTGCAAATGCAAGGTAATTGGGTGTCCTGAGGGTAAGCAGGCCTTGAACAAATGCCAGAGAACAACTGCAGGAGGCCCACTCCTGATGTTTCTGAAGGCACGGGCTCCCAGGGGCACGGAGGAAACACAGACAGGTGATCTCTTCTCACTGGAGGTTAATCTGTCTGAGTGGATGGTAGCTGTGCCGTGTATAAAGGCAAATTCCAAATGAACATGAATAAAATAGCCTCTCTCTTACCTTTAAACTACAGAATTTAGACAATTGACACTAGGCCCAATTATGGCTGATTTAAGCCATTTTGACCTGCATATTAAAAAAGAAAAAAAGATTTTTTTTCCATCCTGGAAATGTTTATAAGCTCTTACATGAAACTGTCAATGTCAGGAAAAAAAGCGCTCTATGAATCTATGAAAGTTGTTGGCTTTGCTTAATTATCACAGCACCTTATGTGGAGACTTCAAGCTCTTGCTGCTTCAAGATTTAATTAATTGTGATTATTTTCCCGTCTTTTTGGAGGAGTTCCCATGAGGCACCCTCGTATGTCTTCAAAATTAAAAACTGACCCCTTCCTTCTTCAAAGCTGGTAGCTGACTTGAAGCAAGGGCTAGGCAGGGTCAAATCTGTGGCAAAACATCTGTTTAAGATTCCCATGATTAAGCATGTTAAAAATACCAGTCTTTTGGATTCTGTCAAATCCTGGCTCAGCTTCAGCCACCAGTGGAATGTTCCCCCACTTGTATTTTTATGCTTTAATAAATGTGGATTCCTTTCTCTTTCCTGAAAAGTACCATCTTAAGATGCAGCCTCAATAGGGAAAGGGCATCAAACGTCCCATTATACCTTCAGCCCCAGCAAACCAAATGAGCAGGAGACAGGGAGACCTATGTTATTTAGTATTATTTCTTTGAGGTCAGGTTTGAGATTCATTTAGGAGGATTACAAAGGTATATGTATGTTAATACATGTAACTGATTTTTTCATGAATTTCCAGTAATTGATAGGTACTGTCCCCTTCATAGTAACCAAGAGAGACTCTAGATTTTATCCCTAATATGCCCACCTTTCTGGAAGCCATTTTGGAGAGGCCTTCAGGTTCTTGTGGCACTTTTGATTAGCATTATTAATGGCAAATCATCTTTCGAGCGTTTACTTTTGGAAAGAATCTCATTTAGAATAGGTCTAGTGAATAAGTTGTGCGAACAAACGGAAATATGGGGGAGGAGTCTCAAACATGGTTTGAGCTCAGACAGGGGTGTAATGAAGTTGCACTGCCAGCAGAACCCAACAAGAGGGACCTTCAAGGGTCGCATAAGCCTTTCCTGTCTTTCCACTCCTTCTCTGGCATTTTCTAGTAATTTTTTTATAGCATTCATGGTCTCAAAATGTAGGTGGTCATTTTGAATGTAAAAGTGCACACTGCCTATCGATTTATAGACTGTGTCTCACTGGCTAATGCTTATGTCTTGACGCACAGAATGGAAGTGTCTGCTGTTCTGTGGATCTGGAGTGTCTTCACAATAACTGAAGTATTTTAAATGGACTCATCACTGCGAGAGACAAATGGACTAAATAAACCATCCAACATAATGAAGAACAGGACTTGATTTTTTTTTTTTTTAAACCACAGACGATTACCAAAGTATCCATTGAAGGAAGGGGTTCGGGGGTTGCCTCTCAGACCTACCATGTTGCTCATTCTTGCTAACCTAGTCTAGGTGACCTACAGTGCAGTGCATTTAAGTCTATGGTTGTTAAAAAAAAAAGTTTCCCGTGTTGTAAGTCACATGTTTCCCTTATCAGATCATTTGCAAACACGTTTAAATGCTCTCATGGTAAATGTTGATGTATTTTTTGGTTTATTTTGTATACGAACATAAGAGAGACTCAGCTACTTTTATTTATTTTTTTTCTGGATTTTTGGATCAAATTCTACAAATAAAGTTGCCTGTTGTGGTTTTGTCCCATCCACTGCATACTTAGATCCCTGTGAAATGCATTGATAAATATATGTATGTAGAGCCTAACTGCATCTGACTTACACTTCAAACTATTGAACACATCCCAGATGCCCACTCATTTAGCTTACATCAGCTGAAAGCAAATATGGTATGTTAAAGACCACAAACATAATTTAAAAAAACCTTCTCCCCTTGGCAAACAAAATCTTAAGCCACAATTTAGAAGCAACAACGTTTACAACCTTTCTTCTGGCATTGAAAGAGAAAGTATCTTTGCATCAGTTTTATACAGTATTTGATAACTTACAAGGGACTTCCAGGTCTATGAATATAAGCTGTCATTATAGCACAGGAGCACTGTATTATTCCTACTTTACAGAAAAGTAAATTAATGTAACCCAGTCCACCTATTTTTTCAGATTTAATTGATTTATGGCACACTGGGATTGGTAACCAAGTCTCATAATGCCTGCCCAATGATATTTTCCACTAAACCATTCAACCTCATATGGTAGAGGATACACTTTTTAAAAAGATACTTTTATGCTCAGGAGTTATTTTAGAACACCAAATGTCTTCATTTGAGTCACTACCATATTTTTGAGTTGGCAGTTACTGAGTTACACCGAATGAGTAAATGTGCAAATGACATTATATCTGAGCTGAGAAATCAAACTTAGGTTGTAGTTTCAAATGAACTACATCGTAATAGTTTGTAACACCTAAGGCTCCTGAATTCATCATTATTCTCAGTCAAGTTGGCTCATGAATTTTTGTTCACAAAATCAAAACATCAAAAAAGACCTAAGATGTTAAGTCAGTCATGCTAAAAATATTTCAAATGCCCAATATTAATAGAACTATTAAAGATTACAAGTTCAGATCATTGTGTATTTATTGATATTCGTCAATATTTTTGTGATAACATTCACTACATGAAGTCAATCTCATATGCTATGTATTATGATATAGCAGTTTAAACTACATTTAACAACTACTACTACTATTATGGTAAATTAGAACAAATCTCCATTTTAAATGTAATCTTGGGATGGAGATTTTGAAAATGATTCTTTAGAATGTATTTATGACACCTCCATTAAAAAATACCTATCAATTTTTTATTGGAAAAACAAAGACATTTATAAGAAACATTAGTGACAGTAAGGTGAGGGGGTTGGCAAACTATGGTCCCTTTTGTCAAATTCAGCCTTCTTCTTACTTCATTGGAACAAAGTCATGCCCTTTCATTTACACTCTCTACTGCTGAAAAGAATGGCAGAATTGAATAGTTCCAATGAAGACCCACAAAACCAAAAAGATCACCATCTTGCCCTCTACAAAAAAGTTTGTCAATGCCTGGTGTAAATGATAGCTAAACATTTGTGTGTATTTTAGAATGCATGTTTCCATGGTTTGTCCAAGGAATTTCCAAAATTGATCAGTTTCCATTGAATCTGTATATATTCATACCTTGTTGCAAGGCCATTAGCATTGACGACTCATCCTAAAATACTGGTGTTTTACAACTACAACCATAAAACTCAGTATTTTCTTTTTTTTTTTTTCTATTTCGGTTAAATTTAATCTGTGCTAACTTGATGACAAAATGTTATTGATATTTACTAGCACAATTTAAACTACTTCCAGCTCCTATCAATAAGGGGTTTATTACTTCCTGTAAAATTATTGATGATATACTCTTATTAAAAAATTAAGTACTTTATTCATAAGGTACTATGCTGAGGAAATACAAAGATGAACAAAATTGTCTTTAAAGATCACTATTACATGGGCCTTTAGAAGGTGCTGACAGTTAATCCATTAGGGGATTCTATTGAGATAAATTACTGCCTAAAATACCTTCTTCATCCAGAAATTGAAAAAAGTTATTTTAAAAAATGTGATAAATCTCCTGATGGAATGTGTTTAAATCTCATGCTGATAGGCAGTGTGAAATGGCTATCCTTTAATGAACCAAAGCGGTGTCTGACAAATGTATCTACTTGCAGATCATAAACCATTGTCTGCACCACCACACATGTAAAGATACTAACATACACATTGGTAAGAAACAATGAATAGATAAGCAATTATGTAGCTATTCTCCAACTGTCAATAGTATAAAAGCATTGTGATTCAGGAGAGTAGAATATGAGGGGAATGAAAGCTCTATATGTTAACTAGACACATCAATTAAACATAAATTTTGCCTCATTTTTCCTTCTAGGTTGCTTATGAAATATATATATACATATATATGTTATCTATATACAAATATATATACATATATAAGTTATATATAGGTACCATATCTATAATCTCTATATATATATGCAATCGATAATGCATATATAAATATATATTATATATTCATATACTGTGTGAGCTTTCTAGTTCTGTACTTGTGTCGCTTTTATGGACTTACTATACATTTTTCTTTATAGTTCAATATATATACAATCTTTAGCATCCAGCATAGTGCCTTGCACAGAGTAGGTTTTCCAATTATTCTTTTAAAAGTTGAATCCATAACCTTTTATAATGTCAAAAACTCATCATGGGGAGGGTGGAAACAACTCACTCGTGTGGCTTTCAAAGGTTCTTAATCAATAAGCTCTGTTTAAAGATAAAATGTATTTGGCGCTTTACTATAAAAAATCAAATAAATAAGAGAAGAATTTCTCTGCTTAGACCAGGGTTAGACAATTGGAACCCCTTCACACATAACACAACTCAAAACTTCAACAGAGCACAGCTTGAAAGCCATTGGCCAAACTCCCACTCTTCACTTCCACAAGA